TTAAGGAGATACAGAAGAATTCACTCTCCGTTTCCACGGCAGGAGAAAGTGTTGGCCGACCTAGATTTCGGTCATTGCTGCGGCCAGAGTCATCGGTCTCGATTTTCTATCCTCTCGGACCAGGGGTAATAGAAGTCGATCGTTCGTAGAATCATTTATAATAATAAATATTCCAAGTATAAAAACACTAATGTTAGCGTTACGAAAAACACTTGCTCTTCGCACGAGGGACAGGTTCCACCGATTTCACCTCGAGTTGGGTGATAGCGAGGAAAGTTGGGTCGTTGTTCTCCGCAGAGTTTCGCTTTCTTCGACTACTCTCTCACGCTCGGTCTTGTATCTTACGGCGAGGTTTTCAGAACCCCCGGTGATCGCGATCCGGTTTCTAAAACTCTCGTCGCGGGGAGACTCGCTTTCGTTGGGCGATCGACGCTCGCGGACAACGAAAGTGGAGAACAACGACACGGCTGACCCAGCTAGGTTCGACGAACCATCGGTATTCCCTTGCCTCATTTTCACTTTCCTTCGCGATACCAGTGAAAGTTCCGCCGTTTTGTAAACGTTGTTTACGATGATTTTGAAATGATTTGAGTATGAATTATTATCGGAACTAACTTAATCGCCGAGGCCCAGGGTATGGTGAATTTTCGGTTAGCCTGTTGCGGCATTCTGACCGAGTGAACCTAGTATGCACGGTATCGAGTAGCCGAACACTATGTCGGAAACGAGACCACGGACAAGGAAGGCTTTCTCCCGTGACCTTGAGCCTCAGCTACAGCCCCCGAAGCAACGTGAACTTGAACCAGTCTCCCGTCTCTCCTTACGCCTTTCCTTCGCCTCGATGCTTTCGGGACAATTACACAACGTGGCTGGCGTTAATTTGCCTTGATTCGAGAGGAATTGGGTGTAACCCTCGCCTGTAACCCGACCTTAGTCTCAGGGATACAGAGTGGGATCCAAGTACGCTGGATAGCTGAACAAAATGTAGTTTCGATTAATTATAGATTCACATATTTTTGATTTAAGATCAATTTCAAAATGGTATAGTGAAAGTGCACTATAAAGACGTTACACATACTACCGATCCTGAAGAGATGGTCAGTTTAGGAGTGAAATTGAAAGGACGAGTTGAAGCTAATGTTAGTTTCTCGACACAAATGATTAATTTGAAAGTTCTACGTAGCAATACCATTGTGTTCGTTAAACATGCTGGAAGGAATTTTGGTATACTCAAATAAACCGATAGATTTGGAGGGTAAAAGGCTAAAGCTTCAGGGATGAGGTTGGAATTCTATTAAAATAGCGAGACAAGAACGTCGAAAAGACAAACTATATTGGTTGAAAAGGAGGAGGCACACAGAAGTATGTATTCTGTAAATAAACGAACCATTCGAGGACCTCCTTCGAGCGCAAACCCGACCTTGCTGTCTCAACCAAATGTCCCTCTTTGTCTCGAACGTTTTGCGTCCTTTCAACGAGGTGAATTTCATCTATATTTTCCCTCCCTCAATTGAAATCTACATATAGTTCCTTTACAGAACCCCCGTTTGTCTTCAACCGACGATTAGATGAATCTTTCCGATATCTCTCTCATTTTCACCGACTGCTATTTTCACTCATGTCATATTTATCTCATCGTTTCCCTCAGTTTCTTTATCGTTATCTATCGTTTCCTCCGTTCCTTCGCCCCTCTATCTACGTTCAAAGCTTTTCTTCTTTTTCCATCTCGCTATATCGCATATCTCTATTTCCGTTCAGTTTCTTCGCTCTCCGTCGACCCTGTACTAACTCGGATCACTGGCTTCACCCTTCTCTCTCTATCTCTATTCTAACCCATGCGTGATACAACACGCTTCTTGTCCCTAACCTAATACAACGAGCGTTGCGTTGAGCCACAGCACGGACTGCAGCAAGCCACATTCAGACCGGTTTGATGATTCAGGTTCATCTAGATCTAAACAACTACGACCTCGGCACACGTAATACGTTGGGTCGCGAGACTCACGGCCATCTATAAGATTACCCCCTGGGAGAATGGCCACGGAATGGGGCGCATAATGCCTCCCTCCTGGTGGAAACCTCGAGTGTCTGCATAGATTTGCAGTTTTCAAGATCTTTGCAGGAAATAGCTTCTATGGAAGTGTTTCCTGACGAAACCACCAGGTTCTTGAGGGTCTAGCCATAACGTTAAAATACGTTCTCTTCTAAGATTATCCTAACAGAAAGACTGAGGACAGTGACGAAACTCAACGACCCGTATCCCTTGGCCGTGCATTATTCTATTAAGCTAGAAAATTCGATATTTCAGGAGAGACAGAGTCGACGTGCACCGAGAACGGTAGAAGGACGAGTGTCAGCCTGGGATCCTCTATAAGGGAGACCTTGACCTTCGCTAGACGACCTACAACGCCCGCTTAGTTCAGTCTAAGGGGATCCTTGGACGAAATTCAGAAGGGTTTAATGTCCACGCTATTATACTTATTATAATCCATTCTTCCGCGTCTCGACACGATCGGAGGGGATCCCTCCCTGGAATTGATGTCAAGACCAGACGTACGTGGCTTCTATTCGTCTAGCCTCGAATGGACCTCTTCAAATTGTACAGATGTTCTCATGGATTCAAAATAGAAGGACTCTTTAATTCTTTGTTTATTATAACTTGCCCGGAACCACTTATAATGGATCAGTTGATTTATGAAACCAGTTGGAATTGATTATTGTACAATAGAGAAATTAATTTCATCGCGTCTGGGAATTTCTATGTAGCCCAGGGAAACTTGTCGGTACACAGTATGTATACCAGTTAATGTCAAGTGAAAGGGATTAACCCTCCAACGGCAGAGTTCGGTCAATCGTAACTCGTATCTACTAAACTAAAACAATGGTGTTTTGGATTGAAATAAACCTATCCTTTTCATTAAATCTAGCTTCTTCGAGTTAGTGTCAAGAATGAAAGATGATGCAAACAAAAAGTGTTTCGTCTTCGTGAGAAACGTACAATGGAGATTGAATAGAATGGTCGGTGAATCGGGGGAGTGGAAGTGTCTGGCGCGAGGGACCATTTCAAAGAGGCCTCGTCAAAGAGTCTCGCTGATCCGGGAGTACTCTTGGCTAGGTACGCCATTGCACCGAGATAGATGGATAGTTATAGCGAGTGCGTCGAAGCGGGATGCGGGGGCTGATCGATAAAAGCGGCACTCGGGTTCACGAGCCTCATTCAAGGACAAGGCCATGTGATAGCGGCCGCGGTTGCGCACTCAACCACCCCTGCCTATCGGCTGGTCGTTTGTCTCAGGTTTGTCTCTACTCCGTGCACGGCCCTGCTCATGCCCCGTTGAAATGAAGACAGAAATATTTCTTTCAATATCACGAAACCCACCCACTTAAGAAAAATGACTATTTTTTATGAACCGATGGCTAGAATGATTTCGAGCGCCAGGAGGACGTTTCTTTTGCGTCAAGACAAAGGGGTGAGATAAAATCCCCTAATGTTGGCATTGTGAGGGAGAATTTTCAAAGTCAATTCGAATATTAGTTGCACCATTCCTATATCCTATTTAGGACGCAGCACGTACCAGCCACGCACACCAGCCTAGGTCAACCATGTGGGTGGCGCGGCTAGTTTCCCTCGATTTCCCTTTTACGACCCCCTTTTTATTTCACTAGCACAGCTACGTTTGCACTTGTCGTAGGAGATACTTACTATATCACACATTTTACGCTCCTATCGCATCCGCTACTTCGTGCATCTTTAAGCTTAAGAATCTAAGAGCTGGCATCTAGGCTGTTTGCTTTACTGCACTTATCGCAGCGTTCATTCCTTAACCAAACACGATAATACATACTTGCTGTTGTTCGCGCTCATAACCATTCGAAACGCATAGTGTTGCGCATGCACCCTGTGTTTCGCCCTTGTATGCACATGCGCGCGAATGAAACTCAAGAGAATAGGTGTAACGGAAGGTCTGGCCTCTCATCTGCTTCCGTTCGCAAGCATGTGAGTTATACACGCGTAGACATTTCATCATCCTTCCCTAACAGAGCCATGAAAGAAAGGCGAATGACAGAAAAATTAATAATAATAACAATTGATCGAGATGAGGAGAAAGAGAAACTAAAGCGAATGGAAGAAAAAAATAAAAATAATAATTTTTTGAAAAGCAACGGCGACAATTAATAGCGTGTTATCAGCATCGAAGGGAAGGAAGAGAAAGAAAAGAGAGTAGAACAAGAGAGGGCACTAGACAAAATCAAAAAGGAATACAGACACGTAGACGAGATAGAAAGGAAGAAGATAGAGAACGGCGCGGTTGTGTGTGCGCATTGGGAGATCGTGTTGCCTGGCATAGTGTGGAGTCGTATCACGAAGCAGTCGCTTTATATACGTGCGCTGTCGGTGCGCGCGGATAGCGCGCTGGAACGTCGAACGCTATAGGTTGAAACGGTGAGCGCTCGCCACAGGCTGTAGGCTACCCGTAGGGGTTAGATAGAGAACGAAATAGGGAGACTGAATGAGATAGACAGAGGGAGGGAGCGAAACAAAGATAATACCAAGAGGAAAAGAGAGAGATATCAGAAGCGAGGGAGATATCTAGATAGAGGAAAAGAGAAATGAGAGCGCTTATGCACCGCTGAATCCATCGCGGCCGGCCGCACTCTCACTTTCGCCGGCGCCGATGACGGTTCTCGTCGTCGTCGGCTGATTGCCGTCTGCGCTACAACCACTGACTTTTTTCCCCGTACGACCGTGAGTAACGCGTTACGCCGCTGTTCCGCGCGATTTTCACCGCGGAAAGTGTATCTTTCGAAAGCGGAGCATAGAGGGCGCGCTCTTACGATGACCACTCGTATTAGAGTTGACCACGTGATCGATCAAATCGATTGTCGATAGACTTGAGGGAAATAGGAAGATCGAGACGAGTATCGAAGTGAGTTATCGAAGCGTTAGTCAAGCAGTCACGCGAGTAAAGATGGAGACGTATTGGCTTTGATTTACATACCTCGTGACGAAACTCGAGCAGGGGTTGACGCTCTTGGAGGCCTTCGCGACGATAAACCGCGATCAACCGTGGAGGTGGATCGTTCACTGTCTCCGTCTTCATCACGTATCAAGGGTGAGAAAGAGGGAGAAGAAAAACGAGAGTGCCGGAAGAGAGGGGAAGAGAGTTACTCTGGCACGAGGGCGGGAGCGAGAAAGCAGAAGGGAGGAGGACGCTGCGTGGGTGGTGGGAGAGAGGGAAAGGTCGGCAGTGGCTCGCGAGGGACTACTCGTATTCCGAGGACTGTTGTTTTCGGTGAACTGCTAAGAAACACTCGTCCACGCGGACCGGCCTTACGTGCATTCCTCCGTACGCATCCTTGCGTCGCGTCGTGTGACAAGAACGATTTGTGAATTGAAGAATCAGTGACTCTTCGACATTCCATTGAAGGCTATTGCTATTGTGTATCGCACGTGTCGTCTAGCGTCTCGAGATTCTGGAGCAACGAGTGCGTGACATCTATCGACGAGTTTTACGTATGAAAGTATTCCGATCGACTGTTGTGATTCATGGCTTTAATGTGTTTTTTACACTAGAACTTGCGTGAGTGGTTTTCCGTGTCTTTCGATAGACTCGTTCGTGTTTCGGTTTTCATAACGGACGTTCGCGAGTTCAAGGTTTCACCGGTGGTGTCAACACGTGTCGTACTATTGAGAATTTTCAAAACAATCTACATCGCTCGAACGGCTCGGTGAAAAGGAAACAAAAGCGGACAGTGACTCGTTTATGTTCGTGCTCGTCGCGTCGTTCTTCTTCGGTTCGATTCCGGTTTCGCTCGTAGTTTACATCGTCGCGTCGGTGATCACGGTTTCGATGCAGAGCGTGGTGACTGTTGATAGTGAGCGACGAGCTCGAAACGCGTGGCGCGCGTAAAGTGAGTGATTAGTTCGTAGTGTCGCCGCGAGGGTTTCCGCTGCAGGTGTCACGCCGCCGCAAGACATTGACCGTGACATTCGGCATTCGCGCGGAGATACGGTGAAACGTAGCGTTGAAACCAGTGAGCCAACAATCAGTGACTGGATTAAACATTGTGCCTGAATATTATCTTTATACCTTCGGCTGTGTTTTCTCTTTCGTAAGCGATTATTGTATATCCGACGTCCGTTCCGTCGATGTGCACGCGTGTTTCGTGAATGAAGCCGACCGTATCGCGGGTTCTCGAGAGATTTTCAAGTGAATTCCCGTGACCCGCGGCCGCGGGTGAAACGCATTAAACGTGGCTCATACGGCTAGGGACAGAGCCGCCGAACTCCAGGCGGAAGTAAGGAGTGCGATCAGGGTACTACATGGCTGGTGCCCCAGGCCTCCCCAGGGGCACCGTGGTGACACGGTTCTGATGCCACCGCAGACGCAAATGCGAGGAAATCATAGAAACGGAGGACCAAATCAACCACCGTCAGCTACCGTTGTAGTCAGTTCAACATCGAGCATGAGACCGCCACCGCCGCCACCACCCCCTCGCGTCAGAGCGTCCAACGAGGGCAAGGGGCATCACGAGGAACCTACTAGCTCCATTCCTGATCTCGGTAAGTTTTTGCACTATATTTTATTTATTATTATTAATATGCAACAAAAATAATTGCGATTATTATTATTTTACATTGCGATACTTACTTTAAGATAAGCTTTCACTTAACCACGATTGCTTTATAATAGTAAACAAACTGACGTTTAAAATTTCCTTTGGATATTATTGCCACTCTTTCTTATTACAATAACGGTCAAAAAATTAGCAATTAATATTTTAATCTTATTTTCATAATATCATGGTGCTTCTTATCACGATAATTTCAAAGAGTCGATAATAGAAATGCAGGCTTAAGATCGCAATGGCGTTATTTATCGGTTCATCTCGCGAATATATACATATACTCGTGTCGTATTGATGCGCTTGCAGGCAAAAGGAAAAATACGGAACGATTTAAACGAGGTGACGATTTGTTGTTAACGATCGAGCTGATTTGGCCTCTGAATGTGTAAACAGGAGGCGAATTCTCTATCCATCGTCTTTTCAAGGCAACCTTGAACTTTGCATGCTGAAAAAATTCGCGACAGACTATCGGTTTGGAGTAAAAGTTTTTCTTTTTCTTCTCGTCTCGTGCTCAATTCTTTCTTTCAAAATCGTCGGCTCGCTATAAACATCGTGTTGGAAAATTTGTAGGTAAAGTTAAGACAATTTACGTATAAGCATATCTCCGTTTTCTGGTTTGTACAAAAATTATTTTGAAAAATATCCAATATTTTCGTTTTCGAAAATTTTTAATTATTCGATTAATTAGCGGGGTACCGGTCACCCCCGCGGTATCGTTATCGTCGAGAACGCTCGAAATTATAGGGAAAAGAACGGAGACCGTCGCCCATGGATCGTTGTTCGCAGAAACGCCTTGCATTCACCCGGTGTACTATGTTTAGTGTTTACGTCTGTACGTTTCATTAACGATAAGCTCTGCTAAGCGCTATCGTCTGCTCTCTTCGTGACTACCGGACGTTTGTATAACGAAGACCGAGAAAAGGTTGACACCGCGACGTAGGAACCTCGATCAGGGGCGTTTCGTGTTTAAAAATAAATTATTCATCTGTTTGATGGAGCAGTACTTTTAAAAAGAATCGACTATCCGGTACGTTTTTACTCCGAAACGTACGGTCACTCTATATCTCCATTCGCAACTACATTTGAAAAATATATTTTTCAATAGAATAATCATTTTCTGAAAATAGCCATGTTTGCGTAAGATTATACACATATGGAAGGGATTATTATTATATACATAAACAGAGTGAAATGATTGAAATAAAAAATCTTGTTTTTCTCTAAACCAAATCCTGGTTCGTATAAAGCGTCTTCCACAATCTTGGCTTATTTTCTTTTTCTTTAGAATTTACGTACTGCGTAGGTCATCAACGATTCACGACGTTTATCGAGAACGCAATGTTAATTAATCGAGAAGGAATATTTTTTCATTCAACAACAAAGTATAAATTTAATTGCATACAATTTCTCTTCGATCGAGCATCGTAACGTGAGTTTTTATGTTGTTTCGTTTAATTAAAATTTGTAATGATCAGTTTGAGATTAACGTTGAACCGTGGAGTCGAAACGAAAGTGAATCGATAAAGTCGGTCAATAGATACGTTGTTCGAAGCTCTTCAGGGCTTCGTCCTCTGAAAGTTAATACCAGAATGGTTTGATAATCGATAATCGATCGGCACAGAGGACTGCTAGTCGACGAAACAATCTGCATATCATGCTGCATGTCGATTCGCATGGAATCTGTTGATTCAGTGGCTCGATAAAGATGCAATAATAATGTCAAATATTACCAGCATATTCATTCTTATTTTCGTATGCGTTCATTTCGTACAGCAGACGCGTGTAATTAGCATTTCTTTCGCCAGAATTGTTCAATTTTAAACAGTTATTTTTCAAGTTTATCATTCTGACGTTCATTTCGATATTCATTTCGTTCGAAATAGATACTCTTAAATATGGATCGGTAAAAATAATGTTAATTAAGAGGTAAACGATGAAAATTTAATGGCGACTCGTTAAATGCCGGACTCGTTAATTGAACGCGAAACTATCTAAACCGGCTGGGAATGTGTTTTAAACTTTTGTAAATATTAATCTCCTAGGTATCTCGGCTCCGCAGGAAATTTAAATAACAAACAGTTTTCGACAGCTCGGTTAGTTTGTTACAACGGCGACCTCGGCACGGAAATACAATTAAAGTTATTGGCATTTGTCGCGGCTGAATGTCAGGGTCATTGTTCTATCCGTCGCGTGATCGATACAGATCGATCATGTTTAACACCTTGCATCGTAGATCGATTTAATAGTTCGCCAAAGTACTTGAATCCTGCGAAGAGCTTTTGGATTTGAAGAAAATCTTAATTTAAGGGACGAAACTACACCCTGTTTACACGTGTTACAATGGTAACACCGTTTATAGCGACAGGTTGTGGGTCTTGATTTTTCATCTGATAAACAGCAGCCGTTCGCACTTGTGAAAATAAAGCGTTCCTATTCGATGACATTGAACGGGAAGCACGTTATCAGGCCTATGTTGACGTCGGTGATAAGGGAAGTGGGCTTCGTGAACGATCGAAGGTCCGGATTTCGGATGAATCGTGGAATTCCGTTGATAAAACGTAGGAAAACGTTTTTCCTATCGGTTTACGATAAACTTTCGATGGAATTTTATATGCTGATAGTTTGTCTTAAGTTTTGAAATTATAACGAGGTCACGAAGTACATAGATATACGTTAATTTATTCCACCGATAAGAGATAGATATTTGTTTCTTTTCGTATAATTTGGATAAATTTATTTATTGACGATCCGTCACGAATTGATGTTCTCGATGAAGTTGATCATTTCCGAATTCGTAATTATTAAATAACAATTATTGGTCAATTGAACTATACCATTTCTATAGCTCTTGTTACATTTCGGTATTCGAGCCATTTGAATGATAATTCATTTTATTGCTCGGCAGCTATCGTTTCGTTATCAGCGTCCAAAGATAAAGAATGCAAAACGTGACGTTCGTCCTTGTGATTGAATTTCACATTTCGAAATGAATTCTAACGAAAGCCCGAAGGGTACGAACTTTATTTTCTCACGATTCAACAAAAATTGTCTAATAAAGTGAATTCTTTGTCAGATACATTAGTAAATTGCTCATGGTATAGGTATTTCAGACGGTTGCATCTGTTTTGTTCACGAGAATACACCGAGACAGAGATGATAGTGTGTATAGCTGTCGAATAGCTTTCAGGGATCTATGTTAACGTCTCGTCGACAGAGAAAAAGAGTCACTCTTCGAGTTGGTTCTCTAAATTTAAATTCAAGGAGGATGACGCGAGAGGACGACCTTGGCCATGAGAATTTCCGGAAAATACCCCGAAACACGTATCACAGAGAGAACGCCTGTATTTTGGTATCGACACTCAACTTGTCCGACCCATTTAAAATACACTTTTCCTTCCTAAACGTCCATTTAGTAGACGTTCGCAACCATTTTATGACCCGTTTCGTTTGAAACGTTGAAACGATTCTCTTTTTCTTCCATTAGAAGAAACGACGTTTAGATTAGGCC